TGGCTTGCTGCCAGTACTAAATTATGCATGATGATCGTTATCTTCAACGACCTTTTTCTTTTCTTACGTTCAAGTGCAGAACAGTGAAATCTCCCATGGATCCCTGATTCCTCCAATGTCACGCTAGCTGATCCCAAGCTAGGCCTGAACATTTCAAAATCCCGAATTATCTCCTAAATCTCTGCTGCACTCAACTGAGCTTTGCTTTATTGGACCACCGTTTATCAATGACACAATGCCAGTCCGGCTCTCTTTCGTAATCTTCATAGGAACTAAAATATTAGCTACCGCCAACTCGTCGCATTCTTATCCAAGCTGCTTCCTATTTAATCGCAATAGCACTGCCAAGCATTTGAAAAATGCAGTGATTTACCGGTTAGTGTAAAGGTATAAATGCTTCATTTTCATTGTGGTCGAGGGCCCGGGAAAAAAAGAAGTACAAATGCACGTTCCTACGTGTACGAGCGCGTTTTCATGCACGGCCACAAAAGCAAGTGTTGCTAGATCTCACGTTCACGGGGAGGTGGATCAAGCCGCCTTAATACATCTAATACCGGGAATGCTACGAGGAATACGGCTTAAGATGTGTCACTTTTCCTGATTATGCGTTTGGGCAACTAGAACTTTATTCGGGCTAGTCGGCTTATGCTGATTTTCTAGTACAGCGCAACAACAGTAGGAAGGAGTAACTGAGCCAGGAAAGAGCGCCGACTTTCATTGCCAAATTATTTAAGGTGCTCCGCCTGCTTTTATACGGGGCGCAAGGTCTATGTGCCTGCGCGACAACACGGGTGTGATCAAGCATTACACTATTAAGTGCAAAAACAATACTCTCTATGTGACGGGTGAAGTGATGGTTTAGCGAGGCAACTTTCCGCGGCCTTCGTGATAAAAAACACTCCCCTAAAAACGACCGGAAGACTAAACCTTCAACAAGTTCAGTTGAAATTCAACGCTCTTTTCTGTCTCTGTTGTCGCTTCAATTTAGGTGCACGTTAAAGAACCCCAGGTGGTTGAAATTTCCGCGTAAAGCGTCTCTCATAATCATACGGCGATGTTGGGACATCAAACTCCGACAATTATTGTTGAACGTCTCTGTGTTTCCATCCTACTGTTGTTGCGCTGTACGTGATAATCTGCGTGTAGGAATTTATTGTGGCTTTTTGTTTCAAGTATTCTCCGCAATTATTCTAATATTTATTTATTCCTGGCATAATAGGGTATTAACATTGGACTCAAACCTCATGAGTCATTAGAATACAGACGCAGCCTTTATGCATATCATCTTTCAAAACACTGGCTTCTATAGCTGCTGTTTTTTTTTCTCTGGACAATTAACCATCGCAATTCGCTAGCATACCAGAAACTGTTGACGCATTCTTACAAGCCTTAAGCGTGATCCTTCTTTAAATTCCGTTTCATGAATCAGGTGCAACGCTGTGTAAGCTATGCAAGAAGTTCGGCCAGCGAAACGTAAAACTCCGGGCGTTTATTGGTCGCTCGCGTTAAATCTGATTAGCACCTGTGCACCCTCGCGTTTCTTTGTGCTCCCCTTTGGCGCGACTGGTGAAGAGGAGAAAGCGGGGGGTAGAACAAAAGAACGTTGGTACCGAACGACCCTGTGGTGTCCTTACCAGCTCTGACATTGGAAGTCCAGGTGGCCGCTATCCCGACGTACCCTTAGTAGGCAGGGGCGGCGCCAGGGTGGGGGGGGCAAGAGTGGGCTGGAGCCCCCCTCCCAAATTCTCGCCTGCCCCCCCTATGCCCACCCAAGTGCCCGGAAGCATATATTAAAAACCTAGTAGGAGCAGAGCTTGCTTGCCCCCCGGAGGAACTCACTTTTCGTGGTTGCCCCCCCAGTAAAAACATCCTGGCGCCGCCCCTGTTAGTAGGAAGCCTGTACGTAACGTCACGTAAAAACTAAGCTACACAGCCACACAATGACAGACGTTCAACGGAGTGTTTGCTTGTAAGGCGCATAATATCTGCAATCACTCTCACCGTAACAACAAAAGAACAAATAAATTATCGGTGGTAAGGACATCAAACTACTTTTTGTTCCGAACACACCGACTGCAAAAAGTCACGCTATAGCTTCCGCAACATTGCACATAGTGTGTGAAACAGAGCATAGTGATACTGTGTCTCAGTCATGCAATGTCATTGATATTACTGATTATCTTTCCTTAGACGTCTTCTTTCCTGTTTTATTTTGTTACCTAAGCCAGTCATTTTCTGAAAAATTCTCCGTATGAGTTCTATTGTCTGCACACTGTAATCATTGTTCGGCCGGCCGTCGTATCAAGTCAACTCACGCGCTCACTTGGAATCATTCCAGCATTCCGTGCGTAGGCGTTTCTCGGGCTTAATATTGTGCGTGCCTGGCTTGTTTGCGAGCACGCGGGAAGCGCTTGCCACAAAACTCTACGCGTGAGGATTTTCCGGAGCTCCGAAATTATAGCGATGTTCGTCTCATCATGCGACAAGTGGAGGAGGTAGCCAAACGGTAATTCAGAGCTGACTTGGTCGTGAGCACCCCGATACAAGTCACTGATGTGTCACCTGCTGTGAGGTCGTCATTCAATGAAGAAGTACTGGGAAAATAAAACTTTTGCGCGAAATAGATAGTCGGCCACTTCAAAGCGTAAACCTTTAAGTGTATCTTTTGTACTATACGTATAACTGGCTATACGTATAAACTGGTTAACAACGTGATCTTAATTACTTGGCATCTCGTAATTAAACTCTGCAATTACGTTCGTGATCCAGTAATGAGTAATGCGTTTTATTGTCGGACCCAGGTATCTAACCTGAAGGAGATAATAAAAGAAGTTTTATATGAAGGCTATTCGATGTGTAAACCGTTTTATACATCGAAACTGTTTAAATTACATTTTTCATTTTCTCGATATACACAATTACTTGTGCCCGTCGTGGTGGTCTAGTGTCTAAGGTACCCGGATGCTGACCCACAGGTCACGGGATCGAATACCGGCTGCGGCAGCTGCATTTCGATAAAGTCGAAAATGCTGTAGGGCCGTGTGCTCAGATTTGGGTGCGCGTTGAGGAACCCCGGGTGGTAGAAGTTTCCGGAGCCGTCCACTACGGCGTTTCTCATAATCATATGGTGGTTTTGGGGATGTTAAACCCCACATAACTATCAAACGATTACTCGTTTTCATACTCACCGTAGTCACTACTGGCGGCGCTGGCTGATTCTCCCAAGATTAAATGAACATATATGCCCTATAAAGTGTTGGGGGCATGACCGCCGCCGTAGCAGAGTGGTTGAGCATCGGACGCGTTATTCGGAGGTCACTCCCTGATGGCGGCCACTTATCTTTTCATCCCTTTTCTTTCTTCGCATTTACATCACAAGTACTTCTAATAACATCCCCTAACCTTCCTTGGCTTCGTTGTCTGTTGGTTCTCGCTTACAGAGATTACATATATTATTCGAAAGTTTCCCTCTATGGCAATCGTCGTAGTCTAAGTGTCGCTTTGAAACACTGAATGCAATTTATTAGCCAGCGCCACTGACACAACTAACGTCTTTAGGTGCATGATAGCAAGAACTGACAATCCGATATCCATGCACGAACGAGATTGATATAAAAATGCAACGACAAAGAATGACAGTTGATTGATATGTGGCGTTTAACGTACCAAATCCACCATATGATTATGAGAGACGCCGTAGTGGAGGACTCCGGAAATTTTGACCACCTGGGATTCTTTAACGTGCACCCAAATCTGAGCACACGGGCCTACAGCATTTCCGCCTCCATCGGAAATGCAGCAGCCACAGCCGGGATTCGATACCGCGACCTGCGGGTAAGCAGCCGAGCACCTTAGCCACTAGACTACCTACGGCGGGGCAGTGACACAGGCAATGACCAGCGTCTGTGTAGTGCCTTTTTTGGTCCTTGTTTTTCTTTTTTTTTAAATGTTGTTCTGGTATACACATTTTTGTACGCTCTTTCAGCGCACGTGCTGAGTTTAGTTTATACACCGACTCATCTCCTTCTTTTTCACTCTTGCTTTCCAGCAGATGGAACGAATGATTAAAGTACTCATTTTCTGACAAATTGTGCAACAGGACAGGATACAATGAGAAAAGAGAGAGCGAGGAACGAGCGCAGACTCGCAAGAGTCAACTGCCACGTCCCACGTACCACAGTTAACTACACGGCCTTGATTGAGTTAAATACGGGAATATTGTTGTCATTTGTTACGCTATTATTCCTTGACAGTGACACGCCATCCTCGCTGCAACTACGTGAGGTTAATACGTATTTTCAATAGACCATTTGCAAGTCGGCACTCGTTTATCTCTTTTTCTTTGCTTGTGTGTCCCGCCGGGTTGTGCAGTTTGTGAGTTGATCCCGAATCAACGCGTCCAAATGCAAACGCTCATTTAGCGCAGTTCAACGCTCTGTGCACGCGCTGCCACGTGCGGAACGCCGCCGCAGCCGTGGCCTGTCACCAATCAAGGCGACGAAATTCCCAGTGTGACGTGTCGTTCGCGCAACGACGTGACGAGCTACGAGTGGAGGCGCTGACCAAAGCGGAATTACCGCTGCCCTGTGGACGATCCGGGAAAGAAGCTAGCCGCAAGCGCGTCACTCGGGCAGTCCCCCCCTTACTTTTCACGTCCAGTAGACGCCGCCGCTCTAGGCAGCTACGTACAGGCACACCTCCGTAGAGGTCCAACTCTCTCGCTCGTCGGTGTTCTGTCGTTGATCTGGAGAAAGAAGGCTCTCGTGAAGAGAGGGCACCGCCGAGCGAGCGCGAAAGCAGCAAGAATGAGCGAAACCGTTGCACACCGCAAAACAGCGCGGCGTCGCGCACCGATGCCCGGAGCGGCGCTCCCTACGTCGACCTTCCTCTCCTCCCGTCCGGAGTGAATCGCTTCCTTCCTCTCGCCGCACTTACGCCACTCATCACCGCGACTCGTTCCTCCTCTCCTAGCACGCGTCGTGTCGGCAAATAAAGGCTCACTTTTCGTCCCACAGCGGTCTGTCGTCTTCCGAAACAGCGCGGAGGCAGGCGGAGGCTAAGAAAACCCCGCTCCTCGGGTGCCGCCAGGTTGTCTGACTGCCCATAGTGCCCACAACCAAGCAGAAGAGAGACGCGGAGACCTGAAAGACAGCCAGCGTGAGTGAAGCCTTCATCATAATTCCGGAGTGAATCGAGGCAGGCATGGCTTCAGCAGAAACCGTGACAGCGAGCGACAGCAGCATGGAGCCCGAACCGTTCCTGACGCGGGATCCCCGCACCATGGACTGGCCACTGGCCGGTAACAAGCAGTTCCTCATCACCCTGTTCGTTGCCTACGTCTACATCGTCAAGGTGGGTGGGCCACGGTTCATGAAGGGCCGCAAGCCTTACGACGGCATCAAGCCGCTCATCATCCTCTACAACGCGACCATGGTGCTGCTCAACTGCTACTTTGTGGTGGCCTTCCTCTCCAAGTCGTACCTGGGCGGTGGTTACAACCTCTTCTGCCAGGGTATCAACTACGAGGCTCGCGACGAGGTCACGATGAGCATGCTCACGCTCTGCTGGTGGTACCTGATGGTGAGGATAGCTGACTTTCTGGACACCATCTTCTTCGTGCTCCGCAAGAAGGACTCGCACATCTCCTTCTTGCACGTCGTCCACCACATCCTTGTCGTCTTTAACGGCTGGTTCGGTCTCGCCTACGGTCCCGACGGTCAGGTCGCGCTCGGTGTAATCCTCAACAGCTTCGTGCACGTAATCATGTACAGCTATTATTTCCTGTCGTTGCTCGGCCCGTCCGTGCAGAAGCACCTGTGGTGGAAGCGCTACCTCACCCAGTTCCAGCTCGTCCAGTTCTTGATGATATTCGTGCACACCATGATGCCGCTCTTCATCAGCTGCGGCTACCCGAGGCCGCACACGTACATCATGCTGAGCGAGGCCGTCTTCTTCTTCACCATGTTCGTACGCTTCTACCTGAAGGCCTACAGTGACAAGAAGGGTCCCAGCATAAAGGGTGAAGCCGTCAAGAACAAAGCCCACTGAGAACTTCTAGCCACACGTTAGTTTGCTAATAGTTTGGTTTGAAGAAAGAGTAGCCAGAAGATAGGCCCACCTAGAGAACGAAACGACGGAAGTGGTAACGCTCTGTTTTACTGTGTTTTACAAACTCACCTCTCGATCCTGTGATATAGAGTGAAGACTGAAGCACTGTTTTGTTAACATCAGTTTCATGTGTCACTCTCATCTTGTTTATTTTTTCAACGGACACAGTGTAAGGCGTACTTCATTCGTATGTTTCCGCTATCGGAACCCACGTATAGGGATGTCACTTCGCGAAATTGGCGTCCGGTATTTCGAGGTAGGAAATGCTAAGAAATGCCTTAAGCATGAGGCGCAGGTGAAATAAGCAATCAATGTCTATTCGAAACTTCTAACATACAAGTGCACATCGTATATATTGGCGTTTTGAAATTGTCGTCATGTCCCTTTACACTATCGGGTTACCTTGAAATACGGTTGAAGTCTAAACGTCCGTAATCGAGGCCTAAACCGTTTCGAGCGATTCCTTTGCCATAACGCGTATTTTTAAATCGCGTGTAAGTTCAAAACATTGCTGAACGGTCAGCGGTTTCGAGAACAATCGGATGCGAACAGATGACATCATTGTATGTAGCTGTCCACCGATAACGCTAGGTGTTTGTGAAACGCCGTTTCTCATTTCGAAATGCTACATAATACGGACGTCGTCCTCCACTTCGATGAATATCGTTTGGACAATGATGGTATGACTGAACAGACCCTTGGCCAGGAGTTTATTCCGGGGAGGGCCCGCCTGGCGAAGGCTTTCACTACTTCGAAAAATTGCGTCCTATCTTCATTGCTTATTTCCGGTTAAACGCCCCCCTCCCTTTTTTTTCCATCAGAATATAGGGAGTACCCAGGCCCCTAGGACACTCCCATCCTGGCTATGGGCTTGGGACAGTATATATGAGATATAGATTGTACATAGTGTTGCTATTTGAATTCTCATAATGCCACGGTATTTATTATTGGCTATTGACGTTTTTTTTTCGTTTTTCTTTTAAAACGTGTCTGCTTTGTTGCACGTGTGTTGTCTTTAGGACGCGTTTCTTTATGACGCGTCCTTTGAACGGCTTGTTTGTCACGTTTTTGTGTTGTTACTTCGTGTTGCGAATTGCCTCACTTGCACTGGTCATTTTGTGTTGTAAATAAAATATTTTCGTCGTTACTTTACACACTGTGGGTTGTTTGTTTTGCGGCAAACGTCCTCAGCGTTAAAGCTGTTCAGCTCAAATGGCAATATAGCATCAACGACAACGCCATTCTATACTGTAAAATTTGTCACACACAACACAACTCATTGGTAAGTGAATCACATCACATTATTCCTTCAAGAAGCTGCTGAATGCACTTTTTTTAATGCATCCAAGCAGAGCGTAACACATAAACTAAAATGGAAAGGTTACAATGTCTTGAAACGTGCATTGATACTTGTTATTCAAGCAAAATTTAACCTTCACGAGTATGCACTCCTGACCTCAACTTCAATTTCAAGTAAGCTCGATATGTGTAAACGGCATTTTTGAAGAGAAATGTTCAAATGGCAGGCAACATTTTTGCTGTAAAAAGAAAGAAAAAAGACCACCCTACACACTGTGCAGATGGTTGACGAGAGAGTCTGAAAGGGGTGAAGACAGAGTTTAAAACTGGCTTTATCAAAGACACATGCCAATTTCCGACGATGGATGAGCTGTTTTGCACGCGGGACAGATGAGAAACTTAGTGTCCAGGAAAGGTACAGGGAGGCGCAGCATTTTTATTAACGGTATACATGCTAAAGGAAGTCCCGCTCCAAGCAATCGGGTGTGCCGTTAAAGTTTTACGTTAGCAAAACGGACATTTTTTTTTTTTTTGTCACGACATGCGTCTTTTTGTCTGGCTTGCAGCATGCATCGCTTAGAATTTTGTTCACGATATTCAGGAGTCATTTCAGCGGAACCCGTTTTTTTTTTTTTTTTTGCGAAATGCTTCATCTCGTGACATGTTAATGGGCCCGTGGTAAGTAGGGGAGCTTGCCCGATTTCCGTGGCGCATATGTCTTTGCCGCTGTGCACTGGTACTTGTACTTCAATCTTAGAGGAGCAGTGGTGGGAAGTGGGGCTCGCCCGATTTCTGTGGTGCATAACTGGTGGTAACAGCTTTATTAAAAACTCCAGCAAATTCGTGACGTGGGACCCTGTCTCCTCGCCAGCTCACGGGCTTGCTGGATGACCCACAGTTGAACCTGGAGGTCGGAGCTGCGTAGCACGGCCGTCCACCACACCGCAGCTTCATCTGGGGAGACCGTGTTTTTTTTTCTGCTAAAATTCTGCATTTCACGATAATGTGCTTAAGTGGTGCGTGAGTCCAGCCGCACAGCTTGCGGGTATCATCTTTATAGACGTCTGGGTATGTTATCCTAATATTAATGGGGTTGGGGAAGGCGCACCGCTGCGATAAAGGAATAACCCGCCTATGGGCCTCCGTTTCGACCCAGAACATACAGCTTTAGGCTGGACAGCTTCGCTGTAAAACAGTTTGGTCTTGCGGAAAAGCTGCACACAGCAGAGGTTGCATTTCATAAGCAAAACTGATCAACAAACAGAGGGCGGCTGCTGAAGCTGGCGTTTCGGCAAGCGGACTTGCCTTTTTAGAGGCTGCCTTGAAAAAAAAAAAACATACAACGCCACTTATCTAAGCGTCAGTTGCAGCAAGCTTCCGCCTTCCCCTTCATGCTTTTATTTTGGACTTCCTTAAGTAACGGAGATACATGAAAAATAGCCCCACAAGAAGTGTAGTAAAAAGTGTAGTTAGAAGCCATGTGGAAAAAAGAACGTTTCTGTGGTTGTAACAGTGATATATGCTCAAATAAGAAAATTTTACGACAAAGGCGACACACCACCGAACAAATCAAAACCCTTGTTACCTGCGCACGTACGGACTTGCACGGCGTCGGCATGAGAGAGATTCCTATTTTCGTACATATCCGTATTGTGGCATGCGTCAGTCAAAGCCACTGCAATGAAACATTCATGTGGCATTGCCCTTGGCTGCGCATTCTACCAGCTTGTTTCACATGCGCGTCAATTTCGCCTAACCAGTTGCTCGTTTCCTGTTAACCCTTCAGGCACAGGAATAACAATTCGATAAAATGAGGATGCACGAATGGTGAATATTAGAACCAAATAGAAGAATAATCGAATAGTTGTGACACCGAATCCAACATAAATAAAAAAATTCATTCGAATATTTTTGGGCGGTAAGGAGGCCATTCCGAAAACGACCCTACCTCACTGATTTGCAACCACTCAAAACTCGTATTCGAGTGCACTATATCAAAAGGCGTCAGGAAGAGCACCAATTACGGGATATATTGGTGCTAAAGTGCGTTGACCCAACGCTTTAAACGCTAATTCTAAGCCATAGAGGACTCATGAGCCGACTCACTAAATAGATCCGTGAGGTTGAGTCTGAGTTAGTTCGGGTGAGTAAAATTTTGGCGAATTTGAGTCTGGATGAGTGCGGTCGAAGCAATTTTTTGTGAGTTAGAGTCATTCGTTGTAAATTAAATCAGATTCGCCGTGTAACAGGGGTATAAATATTTTTAATCGCGTGATTTAAATTTGCAAATCTAGTTGAAAACCTTTTTATGTGCGGTGTGTAATGCAGGCTATCCACTCGCGTATCCGTACAGTTGTTATGTGCAATGCTGTTACGAAAAAAAAAACGAGCACGTATACGCTTCAACATCCCAACGCTTTAGGGCACGTCAAGGTAGGAGGTCGCCGTCCAAGGTGCTCCGCTGTCAGTGTCACGTAACGGGGCTTGCGTGCTGGCACGGTCCCACATAACGACTAAACGAAGCAGTGCGGCAAATCAGATCTGATCTGATCGTATCGAAGCCGCTCTATGGTGCGACTCGTGCCAAGATCACCGTTCAGAGTTGGCGATATTCGGAAACGGTGCGGCCACTGCGTGATCGTGTATCACCGACACAATCCCCGTGAATGACCTTCGGCTACCATACCTTTTATTTCAAGGGTACCAGTGGCTGGCTGTTTACCGCTGTATAGACCACACGTGGAAAACAAATATGCGCTTTCCGGGCACTTAGACACGCAGGATGTTTGACCTACATATCTCCTTTTTGTTCTCGCGCTGGGGGTCGCTAACACGTACCCTTGCGGGTGTGCACACTTGCGCCTCGACAGCTCGAGGACACGACACTTCAGCAGAAACGTGACATATGACGTCGTACGACCGCTATACAACTTGAATGAAAATTACAGTTCTATAACGAAGTTATGGACCATCTCGCCGAAGAGAACGCTGATGAGATGCAAAGCAGCAGCGGTGCGCACGGCGTTGAACCGATTGAAACGGGCGTCGACGCGGGTGCTGGAAGAACAGTTTGAAGCGAAACTTGGTGTAGCGTTTATTCGAGTAAGCGTTTGTTTGAAACGCAAAGACATGGTAGGCTGGTTGGGTATTGCAGATAAATGAGCCGAAATAGTAGAAATTTTTAGTGGTGCGTCCGCACCAGCTTCACGGACGCAACCTGCTATTAGAGAATAGACACTTTCAGTTGAACGTACGGAGAGGTTCCGTATGCTGTGAAAGTTACGTTGCGTACGCTGCAAGCGAAGCGTGCGACAACACCTTTAGTTCAACGTACCTTGATGCGTTCCACTGTGTCAGATAAATCATATGCGCGATGCAAGGGTTCATAATATTCATCATGCGCCACCGACGCTAGAAGTATGCATGGTGCAGGTACCGTGATGCCAATAATAACGTGGCCTCTGTGATCTGCACAAAAAAAAGTGGGCAGATCCCACGTACAGTGGGAATCGATGATAGGCGAAGCATTAATGAGGAATGTGGATATGTCACTTCAAAATCAGCACGACGTTACGAGGCGGGGGTATATTATGCCGTACATGACTTCCATGTCATGATTATCAAGTTTGGATGCGTGATTTACCTTCGTCATCTATTCACGTCACCTGATGCCAAATTTGGTATATGTGGAGCAAGCGAAACGGCCGCGAGCGGGCTATGAGCGTATCATGTAGTCAAGTTTTACGTGACACGAACATCACGATTATGTTTCGACGTGTCATTTACATTCGTCGTTAATTCACGTCACGTGATACCAAATTGGGTATATGAGGAATTAGTGAAACGGCCGTGAGCACGCCATGACCGCAGCATGTAGTCATGTTTTACATGACACGCATATCATGATTATCCTGTGTGGACGCGTCATTAACCTTTGTCGTCTATTCATGTCAGGAAATACCAAATTTTGTGTATGTGGAGCTAGCAAAACGGTAACGAGCACGCTATGAGCATAGCATGTAGTCATGTTTTACATGACACGCATATCATCATTATCATGCAAAAAATTGGTATGGCATAACATGACTGTATGACGAGCATAATTCACTAGTCGTAACATGAACATCATTATATGCATGTCGTCAATGTCAGGATTTACATTTCTTGGTCTTGCTGCTCTTGGGGTGGTTTCGTTCACATGACATTTTGCAAAACTGGTACGGTATGACATGACTGCATAGCCAACATACGTGGTGGACTCTAATGTGGAAATCATAACATGGATGGCATGATTTTCATGTTAAGACTAGTCACGCCACACTCATGGTGCCCTCGCGGTCGTTTTGCTAGAGTCCCATATACCAAGTTTGGTATTACAGGACGTGAATGGATGACGAAGGTACATGACTGGGGAGAACATGATAATTATCACATGTGTGTCATGTAAAAACATGACTACATGCCAAGCTCACGATACGCACGCGGCTGTTTCGCTAGTTTCAAATATACCAAATTTCGTGTTACGTGACGCCAACAATTGACGAATGTATATCACTGGTACAAACGTGATAATATGACATGAGTGTCATGTAAAACATGACTAAATGTTACATTCATAGCACGCTCGTGGCCGTTTAGCTAGCTCCACATATAGAAAATTAGGTATCACGTGACGTGAAAAGACGATGAAGGTAAATGACGCGTCTAAACATGATAATTATGATATGCGTGTCATGTAAAACAAGACTAGATTCTACGCTCATAGCGTGCTTGCGGCAGTTTCACTGATTCTTGATATACCGTGTTTGGTAATACGTGACGTGAATGGACGACGATTGTAAATGACACTTCCA